AAGAACACAAAATTTGCCCTTAAAACCCCTTTGATTTGCTCTATCACAATGGTGTCGCCATGTGTGATTAAGAGTGGAATGGCATACGCGTTTCTATAACTAACATGAGGCGCATCCGTAAGAAAAGCATTCGCGCTGCGCTTTCGTGGAAGCGTAACCTTCGCGGTCCATTGTGAAATGTGGGATTTAATTCACTCTGGATGACCAAGTCGTACTGTTATCATTAGGTGGCACCTCACAATTTTTAGAGCTATTCCTTTCAGCCAAGTGAAGTTATGCCGCTCCAAAGGTGCAGCAGATGAGCCTATTCTCTCCGTACTTTCGGTTAGGTTGGGACAATGAAAATATGGACGATAGGATTCGCAAATCAAGCACGCAGGACTAGCTGACTGAATGTTGGGACAATTATGTGCACGCCTGCCGAGGCATGGCTACGTTGTACATTTAAGTTATGTTGCTTAATCGAACAATTAAATTTGCGAAACTTTTATGGCCTAAAAACAGTGCAGACTAACAGTTAATTGTTGCAGTGAGGCACTAATGGAGACCATCTTACAAACTTTGAGGGTTGCTGCCGCCATACCTCAGCCACTACTGTTAAACACTGAGTACTCTTTGTGTCGTTAAGTTCCATACATAGACCGCTCCCGAAACGGCATCCCACAGTCGACTTCGGCTCCATTCGCAGAATTGACCAAACTGAGATTTGCATTCAAGGCGTAGTGACTGCGGTTGGCTAAACATTTTACCGTGCAGCTTAAGTGTCTGAAATCACCTCAAAGTAAACGTTGTTCCGAATTTGGATTACATGTAGTAATACATTCATAGCATGGGTTCCTAAAACTTGCCACCTGGTCTTTGAATTCTTTCTGCCAATTTGGTAACAGGGATGGTTTCGGGCAAACTTGGTAGATATTCCAAACTAATACTTGAACCCGCCGATAAGCCAGAGATACTGTCTGAAAACAGAACACTATATGGCGATCAAAGAGTCAAAACAAATGGGACACATAATGTTTCTGCAGCCGGATAAGGGATCAGGCATTGTGATAATGTACTGGTCTGACTACACTGCAAAGATGGATTCTAGTTTAGGAGACAGACGGAAGTTCCAGTTGGACAAGACACCAGAAAACATCTTGGTCGAGAAGCAAGTGGCAAGGAAAATGCAAACTCTCTTAGTACATGGTTAAATCAATGACCCACAATACAGGCGATTGAAACGGACTGGCACTCAGACACCCAGAATGAGGGGCGCTCCCAAATTACACAAGGCAGGTAACCCATCGCGCCCGATTATGTGTATGAACAACTCACCGTATCATGACGTCACGCGGTGGTTAGCGAAAAGGTTGGAGCCGGTACGCAAACTCCTTTGAATTAGTCGAGACACTGGAACATGTGTCGCTGAATGGGGAGCACATGTACTCAATAGACGTCGACTCCCTATCCACAAACATGCCTCAACGTGAGATGGTTGACAATTTGTGTGATTTCGTCGCGATACAAAACATGTCTGTTGGCCTGCCTCTGAAGTATTTGGGGGATATGATCCTATTACGCACGGAAAATATACGGTTCGAGTTTGAGGGGACTGCTTATAAACAGATCGACGGCGTCGCCATGGGTATCCATCTGGGACCAGTGTTAGCAGACACCTTTCTCGGCTTGATAGAAAGACAGTTACTGACAGCATTGGTGAAGCTACGTTGTATAAACGGCATGTGGATGACATCCTAGTCTTCAACAGCAACGAACATTTTACGCGGCTATCGACAGTTCTGAATTCAATTCATCCAAATCTATCGGTGTCCCATTATTTGGAGCAACACGATAATTTGCAATTTTTGGATTTACTCATTAACGGAAAGATTGTAAACTACAGCGCATGGTCCATCGCAAGGCAACTTGGAGCGGACAGTACCTCCACTTTTCCAGCTTTGTCCCGGTCCTATACAAAGTGGCCTAGTGAAAACGCTCTTCTACAGAGCCAGACGGATATGAAACTCCGAAATGGTGCAAGCTGAAGAAGAATTTTTGTTCAAAATCTTGGTGTCAAATGGGTATATTGAGAAGTGGATACAGATCCACAGCAGGCCTCCCAAGGCGAAAATATGGGTGTTAACAGCAGAAAAAGAATGTTTAGTTGTTCTTGCCATTCATAAGAGACCAAGTATCAAATGATATCGGACATAAAATACGGTCCGCCCTTACGCGCATCTACGCGACCGCCCAGTTGCGATTCATACGTACAAAGCAAAGCCTGGTTCTTCCTGATCGTCAGTGCACCTCATCAGTCAGTTCGGCCTCACACGTCGTTTACCAACACATCTGCGCTTGCGGTGACATTTACATAGGTAGGACTGACCGTCAGTTAGCTCAGAGGGTAGATGAAAATGTACCCAGCTGCTCAGCATCTTGGAAAACAATTAGAACCGTTCGAGAACTCAGGATTTTAAAAAGGTTTGAAGCAACCACTTGGTATGGTTGGTGGACAACGTTTTGCTTTTGACACCAAAGCTTCGTCAGGCCGAGTGAACCAGTCGAGGATGGGTGTAGTACCTATAACGAACTGGGATGATAATCGCGACGATTTAGAGGTAGGCAGAAGGTGCAACGCGTTACAAGTCAACGCATCACTCCAATAGTGCATAGAACGGTCACAAGTTGTCCGCGTTACAGGTCATACACGTAAGCCCTGTTAACGATGGGTGCGGAGATGATGTGATGTTCATTCTCTGCCCTGGATCCGTCCGCCGGTGCTCCTCAGACTGGTCGGGTTAACACAGTTCGCCACACGCTCGAAAGTTCTGCCCCGTCCTTTCTGTTCACGCAGCTGTTCACTTTGCTACTCTCAACCGCATCAGCAGTCAGTCTCGGGGGAGTTGGTCGCAACCCCTTTCTAACAATTTTAACGTTATCAAAGTCGATCTCATGCCCTGTATCTATCGCGTGCATCGCTACTGCCGAGCTCCTTAGTAGAGCCATATATTCAAGCTCCTTTCTCGGTGGCCGTGTTATGCGTCTCTTGTGTTCTGCTATGCTTGTGCGTAGCTCTCTCGCGGTTTGGCCGATGTACACGTGTGCGCAGTCTTTGCAACTAGTTTTGCAGACGCAATTTGTTATCCTATCTGCAGGAAGTGGGTCTTTCAAGTGTGATCAACGCCCCCGAGACTGACTGCTGAGGCGGTTGAGAGTAGCAAAGTGAACAGCTGCGTGAACAGAAAGGACGGGGCAGAACTTTCGTGCGTGTGGCGAACTGTGTTAACCCGACCAGTCTGAGGAGCACCGGCGGACGGATCCAAGGCAGAGAATGAACATCACATCATCTCCGCACCCATCGTTAACAGGGCTTACGCGTATGACCTTGGAACGCGGACCACTTGTGACCGTTCCATGCACTATTTGGAGTGATGTGTTGACCTGTAACGCGATTGACCTTCTGCCTACATCCCATCTGTCGCGATTATCATCCCAGTTCGTTACAAGTGCTACACCAATCCTCGACTGGTTCACTTGGCCTGACGAAGCTATTATGTCAAAAGTGTGCCCAGATGTTTGGAACAACTGATGACGCAAGAAAACGGAGTGTATCCGAGGCTGAATCGGAGCCCTACATCATCTAACACCAGGCATCTTTCGGCAACTCGTCATGAGGTGAACCTGGAGACTGCATTCAAGGTGTTGTTACTCAACAAAAATCCGGTAGTTTTGGCAATTAGTGCGGCTTTGCTAACTAGGACTTTTCAACCTGTGTTGTTTGTATCAGAAACTATTGAGACAAACAATTAGGTTACCGTGGTCTTGGTTTTGATCTTTTGATTGGTGTGCCATTTTTCCCTGTATATAATTGTCTATGTATTCCGCTTGTATCGTGTTTGCGACTGAGGAGAACAATCGAAATGTTGATGTATCTCAATGCTCTGAAGAAATTTAGTAACATGCGATGAACAAACACCAGAAGGCGATTTGACTGACGCAATGCGAATCGGAATTATTTGGAGTACTTAGACAAAATCGGCACAATATGTAGCTCTTGAATATATATGCGCAAGCGATTGCGAATGTACAATAATTACCACACACTTTCGAAGAAGTTGCAAGGTGAATTGTGTCAAAACAGTGACTTGTGGAGCGTGTTTTTGACGTTCGTAAATCAAGCCACCAGTTGGGGTATGATATAAGGACTTGGGTCTCTCCGAGTGCGTACCACAGCAAGCAAACGCAGAATAGAAGAAGTATTGCTCCGTCTGACTAAACTTGTCTGTAGACAAGTTATCTCCCTACCTCAGATAAGCATCATGCATAGCGCCAAAATAATTGAACCACGGTCAATAAGTTTAACAGACCCCAGCTATATGACTGTGTGCTGAAAAATAAAGGGGACTTCCAAACCTAATCGCAATGCAACCATGTATGAGTGAAGTACAGTGTACCCTGCTGAGATTTGGAACTGCGAAGCACCTGACTCACATGGCGAGGTTTGATGGTGATGATGAAACGCCTGACAAACGTGGCGGGTTAGATTCTTGTTCCGACCCTAATGTGAGCGAAGATAAGCGGTAAACTGTGGCACGTATTGTCGTACACCTACGATTTTAGACTGAAACGATCAGATTTAACGTTTGTCAGTGTCTACAACGAAATGTCACGAAATAGTCGTTGACCTCTTGAATCGTAGGCGCGTAGGTGAGCAATCGAAAAACAGTTTATCGTCATCGGAACTCCTCCACATTTTCAGGGTTAGCAGGCGTTATCTAATTTTAACCCAACAGTTATATCGATGGGGCAATTAGGTATATTCGTGATTCCAGAACCCAGGCTTAACTACCTGTTCCTCGATGTCTTCCATATTTTCATAGCTCGCTGGGTGGCAGACCATAAGTCATAATCCGTTTAACGTTACCACACAGTGAAGGCTTCTTCAACCTTGCCCACATCGAAAGGAAGAACTATACTTGTAACAAAAGAAGCATAATTGGGTGCTCCAAACTCTGATCGTGCATGCGATCTCAAACACTCAAGCAGCTTTCTTCCTTTTGTAAGATGACTTGGTTGGCTTCAACCAGTCGATAGTGTAGATGTGGGTGTATGCCCTCGTCGATTATTGAGAGTATGTCGAATATATGATTGAGCTGCAGATATGTGCGAGATAACAGCATTTGTATTTAGCTGATCCCATTTTATTATCCAAATGCGCAAAAAGAGTTGTGCTACGTAGCAAGTTGAAAACAGAATGTGGCATGGAAGCACTGGCAGATCGGAAGAGTAAAGGCAATGTTTTTCGCAATAAAAGCCTTTTATCCAAATCACAATTCTTGGTGTTGCTCCAGTACAGTTCCGTAGTTCGTTGCTTGACTGCTGACAAAGAGGTCTTGTTGATCCAGAATCTCTTGCTCTGTCAACACATTATCCTGAAATGAAATAGACTTACAATGGAGATTTTGTTAAAAGAGTTATCAGCTAGGACAAACGAAATGCGTCAGCAGATCTTGTCAGAGGTGCCTCCGTAAAAGAGCCGAACAACAGGTTAATTGATGATTAGGTTTGATCGACCTGACCCAATCATCAGAACCGAGAGAATAAAGTCTTCATTGGATGACAACTGTATGACCCTTACCAGCTCAATTTGTCTAGTGATTGAGCCCTCTTCTGAAATGTGTCCTTGTGAAATAGCGTTGATTGATATTCTTATAATAAGACTCGTCATGTGTAGTAAGACAGGTCAAAAGAAAAATGTTGATACTTCATTTAAATATTAAGGTATTTGGTATATTCTAGGCACTGCGAGGCAAACCTGCGTAGGCATGATCATGTACAAGACAGGGATCATAAGCTGACTGGAAAAAGCCCGAAGCAGTTCAGGCGTGATCAGCTGGGAGAACACGTGTGACACAACAAAGTGGAATGGAATTTTTCGCTCTAATGAGAAATTACACTTGTCCGTGTTGCAAGATCAGATGTTTTGAAAAGAGATCATCGTCGTATCCTTTACAAGAAGGTGGAATGAAACTAGCTAAACAATTGTAGGACTATCGTGATAACGAGTAGTATGTTTTCAGATGAATGTGCGGAAATGGATCAAAATTTACTTAAGAAATGAGTCTTACGATAGAAGTATTTTTATCTTGCCACTGTGGATCAAATTAACTCTTTCCTCCCGCATGTGTGCGGTAATTGTTAGTAAAAGCAGGATAATTAGATAGCTTTCGCATCTTCTGTGATGTTACACACAACGCGTAAACGGTTACTAGTCCTCCATCACACTCATTGTGACCACCGAATTTCCCAGGCTGCTGCATGTTAGAATGCTTCGGAGAACTAGCTTGAGTACCGTACGCGGATGGTTCAGTTGAAGACTTGGTTCCGTTAAGAAAATTCATCGCGATTACTTGACAAGATAGTAGAAAGTGAATAAGGTTCAATGTTTCTTGACCAGTGAATATTAGGAATGGGGTGACTTCGAGAAGGAATATTGTGGTAAAAGGGTTTGGAAGTTGTACCCACTGTGGAGATGTATAATTCATATATGCCAATGTAACACCAGGAAATTGAAAGGATTTGCTGACATCTACAGGAGATTTCAGTCTATTAAATAACAAGAATAAGTATTCCGGGAACATTTATGGTAACAAATGCGCCTGAAGTTCTTCCTTATTGTTGAGGTGAGCATAGTGCGCAAGACAATTTGGTGTACAGTGAATGGTTATAGTAATGATTCCCGAAAACAGGTAAGATAGGAACCAGTCGTTCGTATTCGAGAGAAGTACGTTCCATGACGGCTGTACTTCCGACAAGATGTACTGGAATATGATCAAGTTAGATTTTCATGGATTCAAATAGGCCTGCCTTAAAAATCAGTACGATACCAGCGGCTGCAGTATTCCGCGCTAATTTACGCAGATTTCTCTATACAATCTCTATTGCAGAGTTTCTTGGCTTAGACTTGGCTGAAGACAATATATGGGAACAAGGTCCAGATTGAATTTAACCGTACACCCTGGTGAGTTATCTAACCGTGTAGCCCATCATTGCCTTCTGCAATTCAGACCCGAAACCAGCAGGTTAGTGGAAGGTGACATTAGCACCACTGTTATTAACTTTGTAGTGTGGTGGTTTCGCGTCTGACGGCAAGGCGTGATGCCAATGCTAAGACCCTGCTAGTCAGAATAGCTTACTTGCAATAACGTACCATATCATCCACTTTCACTTCTCTTCCTCACCTTTTCAGCTCTCATCTTCTCTTCTACTACTGAAGAAGCATCTCGCACCAGTGAGACAAAGCTCTCTCGCGAATTGTACACGGAAGTAGATTTTTCCTCACACCCTGTACTACCACACCCAGTGAGCAGCATATACTCCGCCTCAATGATGTCCATCCGCCCTGATACTTCTAGGTTACTCATCCACCCCGTCTAACCTTGACTACGACAGTCCGCGCAAAACTTGTCACTGCATCGAGCGGGATTAAATAACAAAATCGCCATTTACCAATGTATGTGCATGGCAAATAAGTCAAACAACTTTCATTTGTTTGGATGAATATTAAAGCCGGCTTCATCATGAGCCTTACTTATTTGCGCAAGGATACTTCTATGTTTACCGGTTTTCCTTTTAACCCCTATCTTGCCATACATAAAGAAGGGTCGGTAAAACTCTGCTGAGCTTCCTCAATCACCGAGCGTCCTTGGTGGACGAACAAAGCTCCGACTTTCCCCAAAAAGCACGGAACATTCTTTTGACGCTTGATGGAAGCCTGGCAACTTGATATCGCTACTTACCTTATCGGAAGTATTGCAATTTCGGAATCAATTTCCATGTGGTCTGGACATTTGGGTTCTACCTTAACTCTTTTCGGAAGAACACTACAAGCATATAATAACATGAGTTTGAGTGAGTGAGCTATACCCACCTCGCCAGTGGTCAAATACTTTCCAGAGAAAGCTTTCCTACTTATCTTCTCCGGATTAACATCCACCCACTTTACCATGGATCGGGATGGCTGTGATTGCTCAAAGTCTATTATCATCCCGTGTTACCCTGGCGTAAATCAGTACCACATCACCAGTGGACTAATCTTCCAATAAGACTTTTCACTATTGAAATTTTGTGGCTCACACGGATTTTTTGTGCCGGGTCCGATTAAAACTTACGTGGCGTTACCCCAAAGTACATGCAATTTCCATCACGCCAGTAGGAAGTGCCACCTAACAATGTAAATTTTCTCACTCGAAGCAATCTTACCGATTATCTTTGGTGCAGTTCAGTAAAAGTATTTCCATGAATTACCTATCGAATAACTAACTTTGGTTCATCTTCCAGAATTTGTTAATAACCTAACAGGAACGGTCGAAATTTGCGGGACGTGGAGATTGCGAAGAGCAAAATCTACATTTAACTGCAAAGCGGTGGCACATAGACGAACACAACTTGCATTTTCCGAGGGAAGTCTCACTTATCTGTAAAACCAGTTCAAGACCTTCTGTTGCTTACCACTGCTTGGACGGAGCTATTTCCTGGGTAATTATTCCATCACCTTTCTACGTATGCCAAATTCTGGATCACACACCCCAAAGCTTACAACTCGTAACCATCCATTCAAGTATTTCTGATCAACCTATGATCCATGTAATGTACACCACTGCACCTCCGTGATCATGCCTCTAATGGCGTGTCTCACACAGTAGGGAATAAAACTTTAGTTACTTATCTAAGTGAGCTTTATTAAGTCTTCTCAGTATCACTGAAGGGAAAGGCGAAAATAGACAGACAAATAGGACAGACAACATTTATACACAACGGAGTGAAAAAGACTCATTAAATAATTGATGTATCACTATGCACCGTGTGAACGTATATGACTATCGTGCTACGTATAGTCATTCTTACGTGGAATTGAGTGTTGGTCATAATGAGGGGTCAGCTACTCTGGCGCGTATGACAAATGAGTTCAGCAGAGAGCGGTTCATCAAATGCGCTGGGGGCAGAAACTTAAAATCTCAATACTGCGTTTCTGGTCTACCGGTGAAACCTCCATATATATCATATTTGTTAGCATTCCTGGCATACAAAGACACGTCAATTTGTGATAAGCCGTTTTCTAGTTAATCCATTGCTTGCTAAAAATACTTTTCACGTTTGGCCTAATACCTAGCACAAAGGAGGAACTAACAGAGATAATGCCCAATTATAACCTTAAACCTAACCTTAAGTTTGGAAAAATAATCTCCTAAGATATCAAAACTCAATCCAAGTTCTATCTTTTCAATGGAAGATAAATAGGATCGAATTCCAATCACAACAGCGCCCGTGTTCTTGGCTTGTTGTACCAACGAATTTGGGGAGACCAAAGAGAGATTTCTTGCCTGCATCGACTTTCTAAGCATTTAACGCCTAGCGGTTTGGAGTTGGTTGTACCTTGTTCTACTTAAAGCACTGTAGCGCTATAGAGAACATTTTGGTGTCTTGGGTGCAAAGTGGGCGAGTATGCATTCACCATTCGCTTACTTTATCAGAATCAGCATGGTAGAACAAATGCTGTGTCTCTGCATCCACAGCATCATAATCTGCCGGCATTATCCATTCTCCGACTTCGGCTTTGTCCATATATCCATTGTGATCGAGGTCACGATACTTCTGATACTGTTCACGTTCCCGAGCAACCCAGTCTGGATCAGGCTGACCTGGAACCAGTGGGGTTTGGTAGGACCTGGCAAGATCATCTGAAGATAAAATTATGTGGACACTGAAGATTCTATCGAAATAATACGGATCGTGGCATCTCTCCTTTCATATTCGCACTTACCTAGGTACTCTTTTTCGGACACTTTGCCGTCCTTGTCCATATCGACTGTTTCCAAGAGTTCCTACAGGCAAAAGATGAACGATTTGTGATTATTGGAATGATAACTCACGCAAGGTCGCCGCGATTTATTACTTTGCTACTCGATTACAGTGTAGTTTCGAAACACATCGAAAATGCTATAGTCGGAGCTCGAATTGTCTCCCGATCTACGTTTAGAAACGTTAACCTGATATACGCAAGGAATGGTAGATACTAATGTTTGAATCTTCCCTGTTAGAATACGGTTTAGTGTCATACTACGATGCCAAAAGTAGTGAGTGGGTTTAGTTACATCAAGTCCAGTAGCATTTCGCTGACTGGCTGCTACAATTACGTGCCATACCGTCGGGCCTGCCCCCTTTCACTGCACTGCAGCTTAATCCAATACGGCTACTCTGAGTTTGACACTATCGAAAACCTAGGCATGCAACCGCAACTACTGCAAACATATTACACCAGAAACAGTAAGCAATCTGCACTAACAACTCGTATCACGAACCATGTTCGAAACCATGTTACGACTTCCTATGACGAAGCGGAGAAAGATCTATCAAAAGGATGCAAGGAAGAAAATAGACTAAGGAGTTCTGTTGTAGGCTTTGGGCATGCACGACGTTGGTCGTAACGGAGTCCCACTGCAAATCCATGTTTGTGACTCGATTTGTATCTTGTAAATGACGTCGCCTCGCATGCTAGCGATTTTCACTGATGCCCAATTCGGTTGTCTATCGCGATAGACGCGTGCGGAGACTAGATGACTAGGTGTGAGCACACGCGACTTTACCTCACGACGTTCGCAGGACCGTTGCCCCCTAGTGCCTCTTAGTTCCTCAGTCTGAGCTTTCAATGGTCCTGGGTGTCAAATGGTGTTCATGGTTTGGGATTCATCAAGGATTCTACTGGGTAAAACCCAGTTCCGTGTGACCGAGTATAGGAATACGAATCTTTCAATTTATTTCTCCGTCGTCCTCTTCCGGACCTTGGGCTTTACTCGGGTTAGGTTGATCATATTCTAACGAATTCCAATAAAGTTACACCTTTGAATTCCTCCCTCCTGCTTAAATGTAAGTGAAGGCACAATGTAACGACTGTATATTACGGGTAAAAATAACCACTTAACAACTTCGCAGTATGGTCAGAATAAAAACCAAGCGGCAAAAAAAGGTAAACATAGAGACAAAAAGAAGAGCAGTTTGGTGAATTTAGCATGATAACCATTACTCATGCTCAGCCTACTTCGGTTGTGTAGGGGAGTGTTAGTTGGTGCATTTTTGTTCTGTTATATCGTCTACCGATATGCATACATATAAGGCGTAATTTAGCCGGATGAGGAAAAGGTCAATCCGTTTGTTTTTAACAGACAAACTATACCATTTTACAAGCGTGTTAGCGCATTGTACCAAGCCTTTAGCGTGGCACATTTTCGAAATCGCGTGCAGTGCTTTCAAGTTAGCGAGGCTGAGAACGCTGTTTTGGCGCCGTTGACACTCTCATTGGTCCTGGGACGTTACCCAAAGGGACAGCGGTTCGAAGCCCACAGCATAAGTGATAGACAGTTTAATGAAAGTGGTCGAGCATCACCTTCTGTTCTATTTTGATGCTTATCTGAAGGAAACCTCGTTAAATTGAAAGCACTGCACGTGATTTCGAAAATATGCCACGCTAAAAGCTTGGTACAATGCGCTAACCAGCGTGCAAAATGGTCTAGAGCGGAAAGAACGCAGTTAAGGAGGGCGTTCCAAGGACAACATATACAGTGAGAGTAAACCTTTTACCCACCTTCTTGTTCACTGCATTACGTAGCCACATTGCACCACTGGCTCCTCAGCTTTGTGTTGTGACACACATGGTTGGGGTTTGTAGATTCTAGTAGGACGCCCAGGTACAATTACTGACCCTTGTGAACTCTTAAACTCTTCAGTCTATGATCATCTGGAGGATGGAACACTGTTTTGGCGTGCTTGGGGTCTCTTCGTTGCGGAGTCTCGAGCAGTGCAAGAATTTGCTTAGGCCGAGGCAACCTTGACTCGATGGCGTGTTGCACATGACGCCTCAACTACTTGTAAAGTAAAAGCGTACAGCTAGAGGCATCAAACCGCCTGAGTACCCTCCGTAGGATACTAACGCTGCGGTTTCCAATCTTGGCCGCCTTCTCAAATTGCTCAGAGAACCCCAGATCAGCCTGGGTACCTGTTTTCAGGACGCGGTTTCCAAATTTGCGTGTGATGTTCGGCTGATATCGAATGTGGACCACCCTACACTTGACCGAATTAAACTAGAGCAGATAGTGTAGTGACCATTCATACGCTCGGTCATGTTCTCAATGAAGTGCATCGTGATCTCCTCGGCCGGCGATCGCTGCCCAAATCTTAACATCATCCGCGAAAAGCAAGAAGTCCGAGGAAATCAGACTCGTAAGCTCCTGGATGAACACGATGAACAGACGCTGTCCCGGCTCTGATCCTTGTGGAACGCCGCGTTTGTCTTGAATCCGATCGGATGGCACACTTCCAAGTTACCTACAATTACCGACGCTGCATGAAGTTTCAGACCCACCCAAGGACAGGATCCCCAACTCCATAGCTTTCGAGCCTGTGAAGCAGAATGTGGTGGTTCACTAGGTTGAAGGCATTGAAGACGTCGAGATAAATGATCTCAGTATCTCTACCAGTGTCGGCTGCTTCCGTTCAAGTACTGCGTGCAACCAGTAGGTTGGTTGCGCATGAACGGCGTTGGCGGAAACAGCGCTGCTCCGGTGCTATGATGTTCGCGCGTTCTAGGTGGTCGACTAAAGCCACAGTGCTGATTGCCTCCATTAGCTTTGAGAGTACAGGGAGGAGGAATATTGGACGATAGTTTGCAGACTCCGAGCGACTGCCACTTTTTAAGTTTGGTGTGATCAAACCATAAGTCTACATGGTCGGCGCCGTTTGTTTATCAACGCACCTTTAGAAGAAATGCGATAATGGCTCGGCCGTCGTTGTTACTATTACGTTCAGCACCCTCAGATCGATGTCATAGATTTCAGGAGAAATGTAAATATGAACTGGGAGTTATTTCCTCAACCCAGCTGTAATGGTAAATGTGATGTGTGTAACCACTTATTTTGTGGTGATGGATGTGGCTACGCAACACTGGCGGGCTTCTCGTCGGAGCGTCAGGGCATATTGTATCACTTGTACGTTGGCTGCTTCTTCAGCTTTCTGTACCTCTCCAACCGTCGTGTTAAGTTAGGAAATAGCATGTTTTAGTTTACATATACAGTTTAGGTGGTTACAGAATAGCTTATTTTTTCTGTCAAATTCGCCAGCCATGTGTTGATGTTGGGCCACTTTGTCCTCAAGGACAATCACTTTACAATGCTGGCGTTCGACCACGTAGTCGCTCCACCTTTTGGGACCAGGACTGACACTGTAAACATACCAGATCGCATTCCCCACTGACGAACTCTGTTCGGAACAATCTGAGAAGGCGTCAAAGACTGAAACGAAACCTTGGTGTCCTGCGAAGGGCATTCAGACGGTTTGATCCATTTGTTTGCACTCTGTTGCTTAACAAATACGTGCGGCCTCAGCTGGAATACGCTATCCATGCCTGGCAGCCCCGTCATAAGCAAGATCTCCCAGTCTTCAAGATTTCGCAGCGAAAAGCCCAAAGTACATCAAAGGGTTGTTGCACCTTGCAGGTCAACTTATGCTGAGGAACCTACGATCAATCATAGGTCAGTATCGGCGCCTACGTGGCGAGCCAACAATGGACTACCAGATTCTGAAAGGCCTCAACTATGTGTGCCGCTACTTACTGCAACGCAGTTACAACACGAATTCCAGGGGTCCCCAGTTCCATTTAGCCACACAGTACCGTCTGTTAAGATGTCGTCTAAATTTTTCCTGTCTACGTGTATACCGGCCTTGGAAGGCCCTTTCAAACTATCTCGTCTTCGCCCCCATATTAGCTATGCTTAAAAATCTCTGATGCTGCTCTAACCCATCCACATTACGAAATATTTTCTATCTACATGGTGAGATGATATAGTGTGATAACCGTAGCACAGCCAGCATTGATATACACATTGGAGGTAAGCTCTTTTACGCAAGCGTCTGTGTGAACATCAGAACGCTTTTCCTTTTATCAACACGCTTTCTCTTTCTAGTCTGTGTTTCTCATATTTTCCATCCAACGGAACTTGCAAAACAAGTAGTTATTTTACGACATTGTTCCCTGGTTTTCAAGAAGTCCCACTAAGTTATCACAACTAGATCTGTCTGGCTGTAACTTGTGATAGTGTGTGTTGTTTCAGTGTGCTCCTCCGGATATTTAGCTTAACGCACATACATGTAAAGTGAACCACTTCGATTGCTTCGTCATATTGTAGCGTCTACCGTTGGCTTACTCATCAAGAGTTCCCCTTTTGTAAGTGCACGTCTAGTACAGGTAGTTGGTTGTCAGCTCTGTACCTGGTGGGTGAGTTGATGTGATTATACAGGGGTTTCCTTGTCATAAATTCTTGAAGTCCAGGCTTCGTTGTTTCGTTGCGATATGCTGAGACGTCCAGGTCACGTTGATTGGAATCACCTGTGATAAGGTAGCTGTAAGTAGGAAGTAAGCTTTATGGCAATGCTGGTGTTAGGTGAGAATCCCTCTATGGATTGGACACTGGGGACGATAAGCGACTGTCACGAAGCTACTGTCATCGGATCTGAGACGCGAACGGCATCACAGCAATTCGGTGGCCTACCTTTCCGCATTGTAACTAAGTGCGCTAGGACACAATCATGCCACCTCCTCTGAAGGGATTCTCGTTTCAGAGGTACTGCTGCCAGCAAGAATTAAGAAATTGCTCAAGAAATCCCACCCAGACTGGCAGGGGCAGAAGCATAAGGCCAAAAGACAAAACAGGCAGTAAATTTGCCAACTTAGAGTGTGGTGGTTTCAGAAACCTTGGTGCCCAATTTTAATCTGACCCCTCTTCATCCTATTTTCTAAGGTACATTAATTCATTCACCTTCAGCTTGAGCTCTC